TCTTTAATAATTTCACGAGAAACAACTCCCCATTTATGTTCAACAACCGATAACACAATAAATTGTGAAGCTGAGCTTTAAATTTTGGACGGATTGTAAAATAGTACAAAAACATATCCAAAGATTAAGAGCTACACCATGCACTAAATTCGAGGTTTGCATTTCTCGAATCGGTCCAGGGAATTTCCAATGCAATAAATATCAATAAATAACTTAAAATAACAATATGGTTCTTAAATTGCATATCATAATAGTATACATCATTTAGTTCTATATTGAAATTAACGTTTTCTAACTATAATATCCTAATATCCTAGCTCAGTAAGGGTTTTCAAATTTTACAGGAAGCACAACTCCACATTTATATTAATCTACCCAGTACCCACAACACAACTTTGAAATTGTGATAAAGCTTTTGTAAATATTTTAATTACATAAGCGTATAAAAATAATAAAATCCACCTGCACATAGATCGTGGTTTGCATTGCATTTCCCAAATTAATCCAGGAATTCAAAATGCTGTACGTTGCAACAGATAACTGTAAAAAACAACTTGATTTTAGTTTTATAAAATTATATTTTGTTATAATTAAATATTTCAACTACTGTAAACAAAACTCCGATTATTTTTGACTGTACTTTTTACTGTACACGGCTTTTCTGAATATTTTTTGTGTGGGAAAACTGTATTTTTAGTGTAAAATATAAAAAGCTTTAAAACAGAAGAAAATTACATTTTATATAATTATATTTTATATAAGTTTAGGTTGAAATGAATTAAATCGTCGGTTACTTTTTATTGTACGTTTCTTCCACATTGCGTTGTCACACCTTTTGCCATGAACATACTGTAGTGGCAGTGTAGTGAGTGTAAAATACGAAAACAAAGTTTTATTGTAATAACTTAAATTACATTTTATACCATTTCATTCTAAAATAAATAGATTCCAAGTTACGTTTTACTGTACGTTACTCTTCACACTGCTGTGCTCGTTTTATTTTTTAAGAAACTGCATTGTAATTGTAAAAAATAAAAAGATAATTGCTTCGCTTTTATTTTACAAAATTGGATTCAACAAATGTTTTGTTTTAATTTAATAAATCGTCGGTTACTTTTTGCTGTATCTTTATCATATTGAACATGCTGTGTTGTCAGTGTGAAATTTGTTAAATAATATTTCCCGGTGAATTTCCCCAGGTGAAGGTATAGTAGGGGGTGCTGGTGGGGCGGAGTTGGAGGCGGTTCCCTTCGTACCGCCCCCAATGTTCCGCCAGTGCCGTCCCCGCCGACGAGTCTGCTCTTTAACATTCCTGCGCCTAGAAACTCTAGCACCTCTACCACCTCTCATAACCTCTCCTCTTCCCTCCGTCCAACTTAAATTAAACATTAAACTTAACAGTCCGACTTTTCTGGAAATTTAAATGAGGGGGTTAAATGTGGTTGCGCCGAATAATTTCGCGATATTGTGAAAGATAAATACGCCATGGAAAGTCGCAATACGAAGTAACTTTATTCCTCAAAATGTTACCGCGCTGTTTTATGGTGTATTTACCAGCGCAATATTCTCTACTCGTATTCCGGTATAAATTATTCCGATGAAATATTGCTTTAGACTTCACAAAACTGTTTAAGCCCTCGTTTAAGATTGTTTCAGTTTTAGGATTTTGAGTTTCTCCTCTAGTTATTTTACAGGGTTTTGATTTTGAAATTCTTTGGCTCACGTACATAAGTAAAAAATTGCCATAGTTTACTATCAAGTATAAATAACTTAATTTTACAAGTCCTATAAAAATATCGCTTATCTATAACCCTCCAAAACTGTGCATTCTTAGATTGGGAGGACAACTAACAGATCATCTCATAAAATACTGTACATTTAAATGTTATATGACCCTTCATAACACTATTGACTATGATTAAAGTAACTTAGTCGATGATAAGTAGGTAATCTCAAGGGCGTTCCATAACTTCTGTTAAATAGTTTCCCAAAAAGACTTGATGTTTCCTACCTTATTCCAGTTCAATATCATATCAGTTTAAATCATAGTGAAATAAATAAGGGTCACATAACATACAGAGGACGATAATGTACATGTATATTAAACATTAACACGTACGGACTTTTGTGTTTTCATTTTATGTTGGAGCAAGTGACCAGTTTAACATTTACATTGAAAAGACTCCAAAACAGGTTTTTTTTACATTTTAAACATAGCTAGTAGTCATGTATTCAGAAAACTTGTATTTTTGTTTCAGTTTGAACAGTAAAAACGTAGTGTTTTCTAGTATCCAAACCACTAAAACAAACAAAAGCAGATCTAAACCTCAATAGCAGTGGTGGTCCCAGGGGGGGATGGGAGGGATATAACCCCCCCCCCCCCTGAAATATTTTTTATATTTTATTAGCTAACATAAATACTATTACCGAGCATATTTTAGAGCTTAAATACGTATTAAAATACGTTTTTAGGCTTTAAATTCCAAAGTTTTTTCAGGGGGGACCCCCGAACTCCCCTTTTTCTGGGGGATATTCCATAGACCCCAGACCCGTGGTCAACCCCCCCCCCCCCCAATTAAATCCTGGGACCGCCACTGCTCAATGGTTCGGCAAATATTTCATTGTAAGCATTTCATTACAATGAAATATTTGACGAACCATGTATATTCTTTCGATGTTTTGTTAAGTACATCATTCTTCCAGAAATCACATCATAAGTTCCAGTTGCTAGAATTAATCGTTGAATTATATCGACCTGAGAAATCGGAGAGTTAACCGAATACAGCGCTAATTTTATTTTATCTGCGCGACGGATAAGTAGACATTATATTATTATACTTATGTTTTTATCGTTTTATTGAGACCATTAATTGTGATTTATTTCACTTTAAGCTGCATCATTTTGTATTTTGGAGCGTTTTGTGGAACCTCAACGAACAAATATTGTTCTAGGTTTAATGGGGGATGAAATAAACAATACCCCCGCCACAGCAAACCTGCCGACTAAGCGAATTTCCATTTGTCTGAATTGATTTTCAATTCAATATATTTAAACAACATTAGGTCTAACGAGTACCTAGGTTTGCTGCTACAAGGAAACTAATAAAAGTATTTTTTGGTAAAATATTAATAGCTTAGTACAAAATAAATATATTTGCCAAGTTTGATCAAAATATATCAATAAACAAGCAAACTACAACATTTTACAATATTCTCCATAAGAATAACATAGGAATTTTAAATTTACAATTTTTTAAATTTTATACGTTACCAATAACCGTACAAAAACACTTTGATATACAAAATTATTTATTTTTAAAGCTCTTTTAAAAGGTCTAGAGAGAAATTGGAAAATTTTGTGTTTTGAGGGTCAAAAATTAGGAAAACCACTATTTACCCCATAAAACCCTCCGTAAAACCCCGTTCCTATGGTCCGATCATGCTGGTTCGTGAACTTATTCAAGTTTATCCCGCCTTACACCTATAAACCAAATTTCTTCAAAATCGGACAAAATTACTCAAGTTATCGCGTCCACGGACGTATATATAAAATTTTGAACGAATTGTGTTTTTGGCCTCTGGGGACATCAAAATGAAAAAGTAAATCGGTCCCGGGATTAGGTCTTACCGTGCCACCTACGGTAATATTTACTTCCCTATGGGGAAATGCGCTAAAAGGAAAATATTATTGTAAAAACCCGTGCTTCTCAACAGAACACCTGTAAGCAATTTATTTAAATTGTATAATATATAATCTTATATTTGTAATCGATTTGAAAAGTTATCATGTTATAAAATCACTATGCATTGCTTAACGTAATTGTTCATTCAATACTCAGATCCAGATCGCACGTTAGAATCTATCATGAATGTTATCGAAGCTTTTCATCGGGAAGAAGCTCTACTAGGGCATCAAAATCAGATGTTCGTAATGTATTGTCTGCATTCGCACCCTGTAATTCGCACGGGCAAATGATTTAAATTAAGTATTTAGAGTAAAACTGAGTTGTAATTGTATTGAAACTAGTGTGTATGCTGTGCTGATTTTATTGTTCAGCTCAGTTGATGAGAGATATTTGTAGACTGGTTAACATTCTTTTGTTAAATTATGAAGGTGGACATAAACACAATGTCAGACTACAAAGACGCACGGACATGGACAAGCAATCCCAGGCTATTAGATTATAATACACAAGTAAATCTAGTCTTACTAAGAATATGTCTCACATTTAAAAATTGATAAAACTAAACATTCCCTCCCAGAAATGGCATAATCACCATTTAGTTTTGAATTCACTACACAGTTTTATTAAATTTTTCAACGTGTTAAAGTTGACGCCAGTTTTTGAATCAAAATGGACGTATAGTAAAGTGGTTAATTGTGCCACCAACAGTGCGTGGACGTAAATCACAGATTGTTGACGAAATACCGATACGCCAATTTGATAACAAATGCAATCTGATTGGACTACTTATTGTAAGCTAGAACACATCAACGTGCTCAATGACAAACACTCAGAGTTCAGAAGACTGTAGCAAACCCTACAAGTGTCTCGTTCAACTATGCTCCATATATATGGGATGTCTACTTCAGTATACAAAGGTCAATGTATACAGTATATCGAAATATTAATTAAAACAATCGATCTAGTCACATCCCCCCGGCCTAGCCCTATCTCCCCGATCAGCGACAGGAATGCAGGGGTGACGACAACCGAACAAACCTAATTTGCATATCCAAAGTGCGTTGTGTTTTAATGTAGTTATTAGTTGTAGCGACGAGGGCGAAGAGATACCAGTCGGGCGGGGTGGGGATGTGAAATCGGCCGTGGAGGGCTACAAAGGTAATCGGTGACAATAGCTGAATGGCCCGAGTCAGTCTGGGGTGCAGCTGTTCAGCTGTTCTTGTTTGCTTAGCGTTAGCAGCAGTCACAGTTAGTGTTAGTTCAGTGCGATGGGTGACACCGCCTTCTGTCTTAACAACATCCTGTGTTCTCCAGGCAAGAAGAAGTTCCAGGCAGATCCGTCGTGTTGTCCCGTGTGTGGTGTGACGCTCAGACCAGGAGAGTTGGATACCCACTTTGTCCAGGAGCTGGAGAGGTTGTACAAGCTCAGCGCCAACGTCAGGGTACGAAGGTTGTCCTCTCCGCACCCCCGGGAACATCTCTCCTCGTCCGACGGCTCTCTCGAGGCGAGATGGGAGGTAATCCACACTCTCTCAAACAAAACCAAGCTGTCTTTTATAATTGACCTTCAAATACATACTTATGGCTAAAGAAACAGATGGTGTCAAACAGCAACTAAGCTACATATACATATCACTCCATTCTACACGCATTTGCATTCAATTCACTTTCAATGAGTCAACTAAAATAAAAAGGGTTTTCTTTTTCACATTATTCTTTTATTAAAACTGTATGCCTTTTATCACAAATTACAAGATTTAATTTTATTTTTAAGCAGCCTACATTATGAAATTGGGTAAAGTATGAAATAGTTTGGAATGATCTTCACAAACATTTCCTGAGCGTGAAGTCATCATTTTCATTACAAATTTCAAACCTAGTTAAACCTGTTACGTTCAATAGCCTATTCATATTCTTTGTTTGAAATTCATTGTTGGTGATGGTGAGTTAATGTTGTTCAAAGGTTTATTGCGGACATTTTCCATCACGATTGTAAAAAACAATACACAACGTTTCGGGACCTGGAATCTGATCCCGTCATCAGGTGAAAAAACTTAACTAACACATTACAACTAACTACACTATACATACACTATATTAGCCTACACTATTCATATTGTTCAAATCTAGGTTTGGAAGTTTTTATGATTATGAACCAGTTGTAATAGTAAATTACAATATTAAATAATATTTTCAGATGACAACATTATAAGGTGCTGCTTTGGTTTCAGCACACTTATTGCCTTTTTACAAGTTTAGGATAAATTCAAATAGAAACCTGGGAAAATTAAAAAGAAATAGTTATAAATTACAAGCAACGATTCAAAAATATATTGGAGGTTTTAGAATTTGAGCTTTCTGGTTTTATGTTCAAACCCTTCCATGGAAGTTTACTTTGTGATGATGTTGTAGCCTAGTGGTTCAGATTCCACCTTAAGCTGAACTGCTGAAGGTCTACTTACTTAAGTAGTGAAGGATGCCTCTTTGAAACTCGATCTGTCTCTTTGTTTAGAATAACTGTGTCTGTGTTAAAGATATCCCTCAATAAAAAGCAAATGTGATTCGAATAAACCTTTTAATCGAGCTATTCGGCAATATCAAATTACATGTCTTGGAGATTTTTTCATTACATTTCTATTATAACCCTTTATTTTCAAGTAATCTAATCAGTGCATGCAAATTTATAAAATAATATGTTTCAATTCACAGTATAATCAGTTACCGTTTCCTGAAATTATTCCTGGTTGATGATACTTTTGCATTAAACTTGGTCCTCCATTATTAATTTCAGACATATCAGAGGATTCGGGCGAATAGACAAAGTAGGCTAAGGATAAAATACCGCAAGCGAAAACCTGATGAAGTAGCCTGCCCCGTGTGCAACGAGCCTATCCAGGGAACATTGGAAGAGGTTAACCATCATGTGGAGACCTGTCTGAGAAAGGTAAACACATTTGTACTAAACATACACAAAATACCAACATGTAGCTATTGTTGCCATTGTAAAAAGATCTTCAGCTTAAAGAGGATCAATTGTTGGCCGTAATGCACTATCTAGGATACTGGCCAACAACAGTAGAAGGTAGTGGGGTAGCCAGCTCCTGGTGGGGACTGTGTGGTTGTTACTCAGCATAGCCAGTATTAGGCAACACAGAACCAAGGGTCCCTTCCTTGTGTTTGGTGAAAAATACAAAATACTTTTAAAAATTCAGTTAATTTTCCGTCAATTATAAATAAATAAAAAGGGGGAGTATAAATACTGGCATTATACTTAATTATATTTATGTTAATAGTATTGTTGAGATACTACTATAGTATTTTTTGTAGTAAGCACCACCCAAAGCCGACTCTGGTACTCGGACAATGAGTGGTTTAGTGAATCCAGTACCAACTTTTATCAGACGGCTCGATTTGGATTTATAACAGCTCAGCAGTATTTACACAATTTGTTTTATTTTTTGTAAATTTCCCATATAGGGAATATGAGGGAATTTCCCATATAGGGAATAAGCTATTACCGTAATACTCATGGTAAGACATGGACCCAGGACCGATTTACTTTTTCGTTTTGAGGTCCTTAGAAGCCAAAAACACCATCCGTTCAATATCATATAAATATTGAATGTATGGATATAAATATATATATATGTGTGTGTCCATTAGCACAATAACTCGAGCAAAAATGATCCGATTTTGATGAAATTTGGTACAAACATGTAAACTCCCTCTTAGTAACTCCTCGGGACCGAGGCCAGTCCAGATAACGGTTTTTCCGGTTAAACCAACGTCCCCAAAAACTTGTTTAAATGGACTGTTTAATCATACTATATACAGTATTTGACTTAAATTTGGGAGAGCATTGTATTTAGACACGTAGTCACTGGTCTCAAATCTTTCTCACGAGAACAGTCGTTTCTGTATCGCCCACTTCCTGCCGATCTAGTCCGGTTAAACCGATGTGCTGATAAAAATTGTCCGGTTAAAGAGATGTCATTTCCACCGAGAGTAGTCCAGTTAAACCGATGACCGGTTAAAAGTTGTCCGGATGAGAGGGAGACTACTGTATATGAGTCTTTACAAATATAATATAACATTTTGTTTTTAAAAAAGTTCTATAAACTAATGAAAGTTGAAAAAATAATGAAACTCGCAATGGAGGAGTTTTTAGCGAATTTCCCTATAGGGAAGTAGCTATTACCGTAGGTGGCACGGTAAGACCTAGACCCGGGACCGATTTATTTTTTCATTTTGATGTCCCCAGAGGCCAAAAACACCATTCGTTCAAATTTTTATATATGTATATATATATATATAGACATATATATATATATATACGTCCGTGAACGCGATAACTTGAGTAATTTCTGTCCGATTTTGATGAAATTTGGTTTAAAGGTGTAAAGCGGGATAAACTTGAATGAGTTCGCGAACCAGCACGATCGGTTCATGGGAACGGGGCTTTACGGGGGGTTTTATGGGGTCAAAATTGGTTTTTCTCACTTTTGACCCTCAAAACACAAAATTTCCCGATTTATCTTTAGACCTTTATAAAGAGCTTAAAAAAACAAATAATTTAGTATATATAAGTATTTTTGTTTGATTATTAGTAACGGAGAAAATTTAAAAAATTGTAAATTTAAAATTCCCATGTTATTCTTATGGAGAATATTGTCAAATGTTGTAGTTTGCTTGTTTATGAATATATTTTGATCAAACTTGGCAAATTTATTTATTTTGTACTAAGCTATCAATATTTTACTCAAAAACACACTTTATTAGTTTCCTTGTAGCAGCAAACCTAGGTACTCGTTAAACCTAAAATTATTAAAATATATTTAACTGAAAATCAATTCAGACAAATGGAAATTCGCTTAGTCGGCAGGTTTGCTGCAGCGGGGGTATTTACTCTAATAGCCTACAAGAATCACCTCCTTGTTAAATAAAGTCTTAATTAATAAAAGTGTTCTTTACATTTTTTTCCTTTCTAAAGCAAAAGCAAACTGAGGAGACCTTGACATTTTTCCTGTGTTGCAGCATGGATCCATCAATGAAGAGGAGGAGAACGTAGATGTAGAGGGGGAAGGCAACTCCGAGGTCTATGAGGAGTATGAGTGGGCTGGACAACGTAGGATACGAGCTTCCACACTTCTTGTTGGGGGCTTTGCTGGTATGAATTTTAGTTTGTTAAAACTGATTGATAATTTTAGTTAGTTAATAATTTACCAATGAGGAATGATTCTAAAAATTTAAATATTGTGGAGTCTTGATTATACAACTGAAACCAGCTGCAACATGATCTGATAACCAGAAAGATCAGATAACACTGAAATTAATAAAGAACCAGTGTATTTAATCATTTGAGAATTACAGTTCCAACCCTGAGGGGTGGCAGAGAATGCAGGTATGAGGAGTTGACAAACTGTGTGGCGTGCAGCTTGCTAAAAGAATCAAGTGTAGGTGCCTAAAACCTAGGGCATATCTTCTAAGAACAGTTGAGGGTGACAAAAACTTTTGTTGTCATGAAACCGCTGTAGTTTACAGTCATACCACTGAAGTATAGACATACCAGAAACAAAAGAACCCTGGGCCATTTCGAGCCGCGCAGGTTTGAATGGTACGCCACACCTACCGGCGCGAACCACGTGATCTTTTCGTTTCTGCGCAGGTTGTTTTGTTCTTGGGATGTCTATAGCGTACGTTTTCACGGTACTCAATCATCCGCAGGGAGAGTCAGATAACACAAGAGCTCTGGTAACTGAAGATTGGATAACTGAGACTCTACTGTAATATTTTTGTCGTTTTAAGTATCAGAAAAAATTTAGTTGTAGAGGAAATATGTTAATTTCTTGCAGAGTCAATTTGGTGACAGTGCTTTATCAGTTGGTTTGTCACAGGCGCAGGGATGGCCAGTGGGAGTAGAGGAGGTGGTGACGAGGAGGAGGGTGATCTAGTAGTCGATGAGGATGATTCTGCCACCTTTGGGCCGACACAGTACTCAGAGGTCGACGTCGTAGTGCCCTCAACTGACAGTTCAACTGAGGACAAGGAACGGGAGGCTCTTAGAGATGCCATCATCAGGTACAATAATCCTGATGTTCAATATGACACATGAACCAACAATGCCAACAGGAACCCTTTAGGATCGGAAGAACTATTTGAGGTTGTCTTGATTTGTTGGGTGGCTAATTGAACTGGCCGTGGGTGTTTGAACAGCTTTTCTCATTGCTTTTCTTTGCTGTTAGGATTGAAAGTGGTACTAACAAACATAAAAACACTTAAAAATTCTGAAGACCATCAATACTGGCCTGGAAATAACTTTTTTTTACTCAGAACGTTGTTTGTTTTGTGGTGATACTGTACCTAGTTAACTGCTTAGAGACTAAACAAGATCTAAGGAGATGAGAAGAAGCTGCCTAGCCGACTCGCAGAAAAAGCAGCAAATGATATTAGCCATGTTAGCGACAAAAACAGCTGATGTTGAAATAATACAGCAATGAACTGGCAGACTGAACGCAAAAGGTTAATTCTATACAATCTGCTATTGACAATATTTATTTATATTCTGATCCTTTACAATAAAACACAGGCACCACTATTGGTTCCTGTTTGTATTTTTCTCTTCCCTGTTATGAGAATCTAAGAAAAAGAAAATCATATGAGGAACATTTGATATTTTCCCTACCTATGACCATTTTGATCATGTGTTTTGGTCTCAAATGTTGTAATGTCAAAAGCAAGTAAGCTTTTATTTCATGTTAATAGTAAAATACTCACGCCGCAGCAATCCTGCAGACTAAGCGATTTCCCTTTACTTGGCTGGATGTATACTAAAATATTCCTTTAAAATCGGCAGATTTATTTCCTATCAAAATAACATTATTTTTAATTAGTAGCTACTTATTAGGTTCGCTGCCACGGGGAAGCTAGTGAGGCGAGTTTTGAAATTTAATTGTTGATAACTTAGTATGAAATAAACAAAATTACCAAATGTGATTGAAATATATTCATAAACAAACAAACTACAACAGTTTATTCATTCTCCATAAAAATAACATGGGAATTTTAAATTTACAATTTTTTGAATTATCTGCGTAACTGTAACCCATACAACAACGCTTCAATATATGCCTGTTAATACATTTTTTTATGCTCTACAAAATGGTTTAGAAAATATTATGAAATTTTATGTTTTTAGGGTCAAAAATGGGAAGACCCATCTTTTACCCCATAAAACCCCCCATAAACCCCCGTTTTAGTAGTCCGAACGTGCTGGTTTGTGAACTCATTAGAATAAACGTAGATTTACACGATTGTACCAAATATCATCAAAATCAGATCTTTTTTGCTCAAGTTATGACGCTAACGGAAACACACATATACAGGGTGATCAATTCAAGGAGGCCATTGGGATTTTGGAAACGGTATGCATTAGAGAAAACTTTAATTGGGGGACATTCCTTTATTTTTTGTGGCAGTTGAAATTATGAATTTAGTTTTCCTAAATTCAGCCGCGATTTTCCAATATGGCGGCCAACTTTGAAATTTCTTATGGAACACCTATTTTATCATGTTTTTTGATACAACCTGCAATTTAAAAACTTATTTATTCCTGACATTTTTTATATAAATCCACTCGTTTAGGAGTTATACAGCCTATGAAAAAGTTATTTCCAGTGTACATTTTGCATCATGTAGCTCCTAAACGAGTAAGTTAAGAGCCTAAATGTGAAGAGTAAATAAATCTTAAAATTGCATCTACATAAAAAAACATAAAATACACAGTTTTCCATACCGAACACCGTTAGCATGATAACAATCAACAAAAACAACTAAACTAACTTTAACAAAAATTATATATGATATATAAATGATATGTATGATATATATATGAATTTGAATGGATGGTGTTTTTGGCCAAACAAAAAAGTAAATCGGTCCCGGATCCAGGCCTTACTATGAGATCTACGGTAATAGCTTATTCCCTATATGGGAAATTCGTTAAAAGTGACCTTTTTGCATCGCCTAAACATCTAATGCCTTGACTAAAAACATTATTTTCATCCAAATATTTATTCTTGACTTTGAAGGATTAAAAATGGCATGAGAAACACTCTTTATTGAATTGATTTTGAGACATGAGCAGGGAAATAACAAAGCATATCTGGTTTCACTCTCTATTTTGTATTGTTATTGCAATTAAGTTATTCACTATGATTTGTTGACAGTCCCAGCGGCAATGGGAGGATATCCAACTACTCTGCCAATGTAAAGGAGGAGCCAATGGCGGTGGATTGCTCCCGGAGTGATGAGCCCAAGACTGATGGAGACTCCCAAGTCATTGAGGCTCTCAAGAGGAGGATACGAGACCTCGAGTCCGAGTCCAAAGGAGTGTCAGAAGAAAAGTTCCTCTGCCTCATATGCATGGTTTGTACTTTGTAATTAGTCATAAATTTAAAAAACTGTATTAAGATAGAATCATTGCAACACATCAGAGTAAGTAAGAATTGATCAGATTTGTCGTAATCAAATACAAAATTACATTTTCAAAGTATTTGGTGCCAATCAATTTATTATTTGTTTTTAGTTTGTAGCTAACTGTGAATGTTGCTAATCTCAAGGTTTTCTATGTGTTCATCGTTGTTTATAGGGTATATTAGTTTTTGAATTACCCTTTTGTTATAGCCGAAGTCTACCTCGGTTAGTTATTTGCTGTACAGTAGAACGGTCCTCAGTTCATCCCGCCACTTTTCAGAAGCCAATATCATAATTTATTTCCCAAGGCTTACATGTACTTGCATGAATTAGTCTCTGTGTTTTGCGCACTCTCACAGTTTGTTTGTCTGTTGTTTAAATTTTACTGTGTTCAATACTCAGATGAGCTAGTTTGGCCTAACCACTGGTTGTACTTTTTCTAGTGCGGTTAATAAAGTATAGAATTGGTGACATTGGGCTCTAGTGCAATATGTGTGTTCTTATATTAGAGCTGTACATCATGATTTAAGCTTTACTTTTTGATGATAAAATGTTGTCTTGACTAAGATACTCATTTAAAAATCAGGAGTTAAGGAAAGGCCCCATCCTGGTACCCATGGCAGTCCCTTTTATCTACAAGTAAAACAAGTTGTAGTTTATACAAGTTGGTCCAGGAATGGAAAATTGTTTTTTTCAAGGATGAGTTTTGTGTATATAACCTTCGCCCTTGCAAGCTTGCACCAGTTAGTGCCTTCACCAGCTCTGAAGATGGCTATCTGCAACGAAGCCGAAACGTCAGCAACTAGTGTTTCTCCTAGTGTTCCGACGCGGTCGTAACCAGAAGACCAAGGACTTTGTGTTAATTTTAACTTGGTTTTATAATGGGAACCAACACAGAACCTTTGAATAATGAGAAAGCGAGTTCATCAACCTCTGTGTCAGCTATTAGTTGTGATTCATCTCAAGCTCTTCCTTGGCCTGCATACAAAGAGTCTGCTATCCTTTCCTATTATTTTAAATTTCTCTTTGGCTGAATAGTGAATACTTTCAAAATAACTTTCATAGAGTACACCATAAAGGTAATAAAAGGTTTGGCCTATATTTAAAATATATGTTTAGCCTAATATGTTTAAAAAAGCTTGGAGATGGAAATATTTTGGGTACGGTACTACAATTTATTTTCCTTGATATGTTCAATTAATTTTACAATTCGTTAATGTGCGTAGAATTGAAGTATATATTTGGAAAAGTAGCTAAAATGGTAGCTGTAGTTGTAGCAGTAATTGTATCTGGCTACATTTTGAAACTAGCTTCCCCAACACTGCCTACTAAGTGTTTGATTCCGAGCTCAGGGGTTTATTATTACATTACTGCTTGTCTAACTTGTTTAAAATTTTCTAATGTTATGAACAAAGTTTTGTTTTGTGGATTTTTAATGAAAAAGATGCACTGTTATAATCAAGTAATTGAAAAATAAGTCATAAGAATATGAGCACTCGTCATGTGCCACTGTATGTCCAATTATTAAAGGTTTTTTTTCTAGGACGCTAGGCACGAGCCCGGAATTGTTTTTCACATTACTTCAGGCTAGACCTAGGGGTACAGCAATATCACTTAGATAAACTCTATTGTTGATTTGGCGGTGTTTGAACCCGAGACCCCAGGAACCGGAGTCCCGCGCTCTAGCCAATAAACCAGCTCGCTCCACAATTATTAAACGTTAAAGATTTAAAAAAATATTCAACTGGAATTTACATAAATATCTTCTTTATATAATTCTTAATTTTTTTACAGGAGCATTACAAGAAACCAGTGATTTCCGTTTGTTGTTGGCATGTCCATTGTGAAGAATGCTGGCTTCACACATTGGTGAGTTTTGAAATGACAAATTTTTATTCCTTAGCGACTTTTTTTCTCACGACCTGTCATTTGCTACTGTTAAAGTGACAGAGTCCATGATTTCACTAGAGGTGGCCACACTAGGAGACAATTTCAACATTTCAGACTTTTTAACCGTGTCAGTAGTTTCAAGATGTTATATTTTATTTTCAAAATCGTGTCATAAAATTAATACTTAATGACCGTTCTTGCATGTTTTTTGATTAGGCCTAAGAATACATGGATGTTTTTACTATCCTTTGCATTATTATACAATCTTAAATTTTAATTAAAATGTAAATTTTAATTAAATTAAAATTTTAATTGTAATTAAATTAAAATTAATGTTAATGTTTTTTTAATTGAAATTTTATTTTAAATTTAATTTTTTTTTTGTGGATCTTAAATTTTAAATCATATAGTTACAGTATTTTGATACGTGCATCATCTCTCTATATTTAGTACCAGGTTACGTAATAGTTTTTAACCACTTACCTGAATTTAAAAAAAATAAACCTTTACCAAAATAAAAGTGGTACGGTTAAATATTGTTTCTAACCAATTGCAGACGTCTAATCACGGTCTTAATGTTTTCTTTTTCTATTTATTGAATATCTAAAAAGGAAGAGGACCGGCAGGTATGGAGTGAATTCCCTGCAATATCATTGTTTAGGGATGATGTAGGCTACTATAAAATTGTAAATTGTATTTGTATGTAATATTTTTGGATGAAAACAACTTTGACAAGCTAATGACATTGAAGACAACACAAGACATATATTTAAAATACAGATATTATCATCGACGAAATAAGTCTGCATATAAAAAACAGACACTTAACACAGACAGAGATGTAACACTTAAGGATCTTCTCTTCTCGTGCAATAGGAATCTGAAACCTTGTTAAATTGTATTTAAACAAGAGTTGAAGTACAAATACCTACTCAGTCATGAAACAGAGATTTACTATAGCCCACCATCATGAATTGAAATACCTATACTGGAAAACCGACCAGTGTAGGCTACCACGCTCGGTTCCTAAGAGCTTCAGTTTAGAGAAGAACACTATTATAGTTTGCTTTCAAAAACACAATATCATTATTATATGTAAGGTTGAGAATATGTTTATAGATAAATAAAACAAATTTAGAATATGTAAATAAATTTCAATAATATTCCCCAACCAGTTAACTAAAGAGAATTTTCAATGGTATAATGCCTAATTGATGTGTATATTGTTCCAGGGAGCAAAAAAGCTATGTCCGCAGTGCAACATGATAACTTCACCTTCTGACCTGCGCCGCATATACTTGTGATGAATTGATTAGTTTAAATATCAACCCTGCCTTGTTTAGCCTTGTACAGTCCTTGTAAATTTAACATGTATTTATGTATATACTGTAATTTTGCCACCTCAAGACTGAAAAGACAAAAATCAACAAAAGTGCGAATCTCGTTCGATGTATTTTTGTTGTTTTGTATATCGATATAAACATGGTGGTTACATTCAATTGTGATACTGAACTGGAACCAAATGTTCTTACCATCGATGTATTTACTATCTTTAGGGTACTACGGATTTGTTACTTACTGTTGTATATACTTTCAAAACGAGTATATACAATGGTATTCGTTGTTTTTAAAGTAAATATAATGCTGTCAATTTTTGTACATAACTACAATGTAAAAATATTATTTTAATAGTTTTTCGTTGTAAAGTATAGACATGTTTTTAAAGACTCTTGTCATTAGATAAGTTACAATTGCACAAGGTACGATTGATTTTAAATATAGCGATAACTGTTGTTTTTGTTGTACTTGCAATAAAAAATTAAAATTTTGCTCGTTACTAAGTCTTGTTTATTTTGCCATGTTTATAACAGTGATAATAACAATTAACAATGGAGATCTCCATTGATAAAGTAGGGTATCGATTATACGAAGCCCGGTTATCTGAAACATTGGCTACCGAAATGCTGATCATTGGTGTTGCCTCAATTACAGCAGACGATCCCCACTGTTGCCGAGACCACAACATAATCTAGGTATCTCATTTTTACTCTCAATGACAAACAACCCCAATCCCCAACAGTTAGATAATTTACTCCCTACTCATAAACTTAGAACAAAGTTTAAGAAAACTAGGCTAGATAAGGAATGGTCGGAGTATAAAGAGAATTAGGGCTAAATTGTTATTGTTATATGGACGGCAAAAAAATAAATATTTTGCTGATAACCTGGCAGACTGTAAAGATTCGAGAATATTTTGGAAATGTATAGTCATTGGAAAAATCTGATATTCAACTCCCAAACACTTTTTAAAGTCGATGACATGAATGATTACAGTTGTAAAAATAGGATGTTTTTTTAAATGCAGACACAGACTTAATTGATTTTTATATCGACGAAAGGAAAAAGGAGTAAACAATTTATTTAACTTAAAATCAGTCTCAGAAAAGGATGTGAAAACTTTGATAAATGAAATAACCTCCAGAGCAGTTGGAGTAGATGACTTGAGTATTTTGATGATTAAAGCAATTTGTCCTTCCTTAACAGTGGCAGATCTAGAACAGCTACAAGGGAGGGCGAACCAGGGGGTCTGGGCGGTTCGGGGGTACCCCCCCCAAAAAAATTTTGTAAACTAAGTCTCCAAAATGGCAGTTTTATACTATTTCTTTGTCCAAAGTTAGTGTGACAAATTATTTTACGCAATTTGTATGCACTACTGGGTTCATTAGGATCAGGCAAATTTCCTCAAACATGGAAAACTAGTATTGTCCATCCATTGCCAAAAAAAATCTAATCCTGCTGACTTCAGTGAGCTCAGGCCTATATCAGTCTTGCCAGCAATATCAAAAGTATTGGAAAAATAAGCTATAAAACAAATTTTAGAACATTTAGAAAAAGAACATATACCTCTAAAATTACAGTCAGGGTTTAGAAGGAACTACGGTACCTGCACTGCATTTGTAAATATGTTTGCAGACTTGTCTGAGGCAAGGGATCGGGGCAGGTGTAGCTCTGTAGTCATGCTTGACTACTCACAGGCGTTTTGACTCGATAAGCCACAGTTTATTCCTTGATAAATTGAGACATCTTGGTTTTATGGATAATGCAATTTCTTGGATGCAGTGCTACTTGGAAAAAAGAGAACAGGTGACTATAGAGTGGGAGCTGATGCTTCATTTCCCTTTGACAAAGTCAGGGGAGTACCGCAGGGGAGCTGTCTGGGTCCCATTTTATTCACTCTGTACACTGCAGACTTTTCCAGTTGCGAGCAGTTCTGCAATGTGCACGCCTATGCTGAAGACTGTCGGCTGCATTTATCCTATTATGTCAATTCAATTGACCAGGCTGTTGCGAGAGTGAACTTGGATTTGGCGAACATCAGTGAGTGGTCCAAAAATGCACTGTTCTTCATATTGGTCCACCCAACAATGTTCAATGGAACATTGATGGAGGCATGCAGGTAAAACTAGATGACGTGTTGAAGGTGAGCCACACTGCCAGGACTTTGGGCGTAATATTGGACAGAGGCCTTACTTTCTCTGAGCATATCACCCGTGTTTCCCAGCTGTTGTTGGGTAGATTGCAGGGTCTGTACAAATACCAAACCATCCTACCTGAGACAGCCAAGATTCAGCTGATTCAATCAATTATATTGTCAGTGCTCTACTACTGTTTTCCCGCATATGGCAACAGCATCACAAATGAGGGCATGGAAAGAATTCAAAAGCTTCAAAACACCGCAGTAAGATTTATATAAGGTTTGCGGGAACACGATTATATATCTGAAATAAATTATAAAATGAATAAATTAATAAATAAATGACAGATTTATATTCAAGTCAGCTTACATCTCAATAGTAACCATTATTAAATATCACTTGACAAAATAGTTCAGCCCATGCCGAGCTATCAAAGGTTTACTGTATTTTGATTGTCAAATTTACTGATTGGTTCATTGCAATTCCGTAGAACTATTTAGTCTTCCACCTTGACTGCAGGCCGAACAAGATCTAAAAAAGTTTATTACAGCGTCCGTGAATACTTACTTTAGTGGTCATTCACAATGTCATTTGCACATGTTTAGTTTATTTAGTTAAATAAATAGTTATTTATAGTAAGACTAAGACATTTTGTTGCATTAACACATACAGTGCGGCAGGCATTCCAACAGGCGACGCGGCACCATAACAGCGAACGCAATTGGCATTCAAATATTTCAATCTGACGAATAACAAAAGAGTAGTGGTGATTGTACTACGTTACCCCGAAATTGGACGTATTCCCTAAAACACCCAAAGGTAGCAGCACTGCCTGGATGAGTAGTCAGTGGCTTTGTAATGTGGCTTGGAGAGAAAATCCCCAAAATCGGGACAAAAAGCATTGTTAGACTGGATTTTACGGGAAATTTTAGTTCCAACCAACACCAAAATAAAGCTCACATTCTAAGCTACAGGCTAGCAATGATTTTAATGTTCCCCGGCAATGGCTGAGCTGTGAGCTCATACTAAAGTAGTGGGGGTTGAGCAACTACATCAATTGATGTAGGCCGATAGGAGCGCTCGTTGCGCGGTTACATAAATTGATATAGTCAGCACTGATTACTTTTTTTTTGTACAGTAGACCGCCTCTTATCCGGACTTTTCGGGACCGAGGCCAGTCCAGAGCGGGTTTTTCTAGATAAACCGACGTCTACAAAAACTCATAAAAACGGACCGTTTAAATGCTTATTTTACTTAAATTTAGGAGAGCATTGTATTTAGACACAAGATCACTGGTCTCAAATCTTTCCCACGAGAATGGTCGTTTCAGTACCGCCCACTTCCTGCCGATCAAGTCCAGTTAAACCGATGTGCTGATAAAAATTGTCCGGTTAAAGAGATGTATTTCTGCCGAGTGTAGTCTGGTTAAAGAGATGTTATTTCTGCCAAGTGTAGTCCAGTTAAACCGATGTCTGGTTAAACGGTGTCCGGATAAGAGGGAGTCTACTGTCTAAAGCCTCTATTAACAGTGGGCAATTGGTGGCGACACTGGTGTTCTTCAGCTTTTTGGAACCTGGAAACTAGTGGTGCAACCGGTCATAGCTCCCTCAAAACGCAGAATTCAGTACTGTGTACTTGATGTGTACATTGTGAGCAGTTTGGAGCTCCTTCTTCTTTGTCTCCAATTGAAAAAAAGAGGCAAAGAGTAGGGCAGTTTAGAAGAAATCCCATTGTAGTGCCTAGGCTTATTTTACACACTGTTTGAAATATGGCATACACAAACTAAAAACGGTAATAACTAAAAATTAAAGAATTAACTGTTAATAAAGACAATGGTATACAAAGTAATAAACAGAACAATATAAAAGGTTAGATTACATATCAGACACCGGTGTCACCACTAATTGCGCCACTTGTCTCGCTTTGTACAAGGGCTTAGAAGGAACTACGGTACCTGCACTGCATTTGTAAATATGTTTGCAGACTTGTCTGAGGCAAGGGATCGGGGCAGGTGTAGCTCTGTAGTCATGCTTGACTACTCACAGGCGTTTGTTAAAACAATCAAACTAATCTGGGTTGTTAACTTCTCAGCTTGTTCACTTGGACATAAAAAGCGACTGCCCGCTCTTTACCTCAACTTTAAGCATGAAACCCACAGTGGAGTCTGGCATAAACGCCCTCACCACAGATGTCAGCAAACTCATCTCCTTCATTGAACTCAAAGAAAGTATAATGAGCATAATCTTCCTCTTCTGGATGACCTTACGTTCTCCATTGGAAGGTACTTTCTAAAGTAGCCGTGAACCATCTTAAAAGTGAAACAGTATGTTAAAGGACTCAATTTAAAACTCATCATATGTGGAAAGTATTCAAATATTGAAGCTAATACTAATATTGATGAATACTGGCGGTAAATTAAAGAAAGGAGAGATTCAATTAACCGCTGTTCAGTTGGGAGTTTTCCTTATAACACTAATCTACATTTATGAGAAATAAAGATGACCTGTATTGCAACTAAATAATTGATTTTGTCCACAACAATCTGACAATAAGGATCAGATCTAAAAAAAGATGAAGGAGGATATTGATACAAAAAATAAGTATAAAAGTAGAAAACAGTTTATTACCTCTCTAGTAACACTTGTAAATCAGATGCAAAGCACCCATAAGACTGTGACAAGAGTTTTTAGTCCAATTTTAAAATATTACAACAAACAATTTTACAGTATATCTAGTTAAAAACCACTTCAGTATGCTCATTTAGTAACTATTATATTTCAAATGTATTTTTACAATTTTCTTAGTTTGTTCTGTCATTATGTTATCTTAGTTAATTAACATTTCATTATAGGCCTATTCTTTTTTTAGTGGATAAAAATAACAAAATTGCTTATATGATAATATTATTGTCTAAAATTTGTAGTTGATCAATTGAGAAGTAGTAGCTTAAAAATAATGTTTCTTTTACACATAAAAGGGCTATTAGGTACCTAACTAAAAACTCTAGTCTTTAATACAACAATACACCTAATTATGTAAACAGCCTGGAGGTAAACATGAGGTAGTACTTTCATAACACTATACAATGATAAAAATATATATACGATACGGTATATTTAAATATAACTTATATATAGTTTATGCATATAAAACTAATAGTTAGATATATAAAATGTAAAATGATGATAAGAAATCCCAAATACGTTCCAACCATCCCAAACTCTTATTTATTTTACGTTGTTTGGCGATCTACCACGGGAAAAACTGCCCTTCTTAATCAAACATCAATGGTAAATGATTTTAAAACATCAATTTACTTCTTTAGTTTACAGTTAACCATAAAAATGT